TGTGGTAGAAGCTGTCTCCAACCCCAGTTCTGTCTTCCCTTCAGATGCCACGACTGAGGTGAGCCTGTGGTGGGTGCTGGGAATGACGCTGCATGCATGGTGGGCCATATTGCCAGGACAGAGCAGGTAGTCACTAGTCCTTATGTGCAGAACAGAGCCAGGCATGTCCAACATGTGGCCTAACCTGAAATCCTGAAACCACTTCAGACATTCTGAGTTGTTTTGTTTTGCAGTTTTCTGTAACTCGGGTGCATGGTTCTCAAACTTGAACTTTTTTTTTTCTCTCCATTTTATATTTTATGTATGTGAATCTTTTGTCTGTGTGTATGTCTGTGCAACACATGTGTGCAGTGCCCTCAAATCTCTTGGAACTGAAGTTAAAAGAGGTTGTGAAGCTAGGTGGTTGATGGTGATGCATGCTTTTAATCCCAGCACTCAGGAGGACAGCCAGGGCCACACAGAAACCCTGTCTTGAAAAACAAAACAAAGCAAACAAAAAAAAAAGGTTTGAGTCACCATGTGGGTGATGGGAGCCAAATCCATGTCTTAAGAGAGCCGCCAGTGCTTTTAACCACTGGGCCATTTTCCCTCTTTGAATATAATAAACCCTGTAGCAATTTCATTTTATTATTACATTCATTATTGTGTGTGTACACACTTGAGGGCACACATTTAGTGGTCATAGTATAACTTGTAGAAGTCTGTTTTGACTGAGCTTGGATCATCAGGCTTGGCAGCAAGTGTCTTTACACATTGAGCCATCTTGCCAGACCCTGTGTGTGAGCTTGGTTGGTGTACAGTAATGTTTTGCAGTGTCAGAAGTTTGGACTCACCTACCAGATCTTATAGCCAGTCACCTGCAAAGGGAACAGCTGTGGAAGGTGTGGAGCTCAGAACCTGTACTCAGGGAGCCGGAATGGTGTGGGTGGAGTTGGTTGTATCACTGAGACATGTCGGCTGCCATGCACACAGGATGGTCCAGACCTAGAGGCTCAAGTGGGAGGCCTTGGCTCAGTGGCTGTTTGGCTTCTGGGTGGTGGTGGAGTGCCCAAGTCTAATTTAGTGGGGTTTTCTTTGTGCTTTCCCTGAGGACGTCAAGCAGCAGGGGCCCATATTGACTAAGCATGGCAAGAACCCAGTTATGGAGCTTAACGAGAAGAGGCGTGGCCTCAAATACGAGCTAATTTCTGAGACGGGGGGCAGCCA